CCACCTAAGCTCATGCTGACTGCTTCAGTGACTCCATCCAGCCACCTCATCCTCTGCCGTCCCCTTCTTCTTTTGCCATCAATTGTTCCCAGCATTAGGCTCTTCTCCAGTGAGTCCTTCCTTCTCATTAGGTGGCCAAAGTATTTCAGTTTCATCTTCAATATCTGGCCTTCTAAAGAGCAGTCAGGGTTGATCTCCTCTAGGACTGACTGGTTTGATCGCCTTGCAGTCCAAGGGACACACAAGGGAAAAGTAATGAAGAGGGAGAAGGGGGAAATCACATCTTTCCCCAGGGCTTTCCTGCTTCACATTCTCATCTCCCTCAGTACAGCCTGATCAAATGGTTCTTCCTTGACCTTATTATTATTTTTTTTTTTTAAAGAAAAACACTATTCCAAATTTTTCTTTTCTCTCTCTATGAGACTGCCAGCTCTGGTGCTAGGAGCCTGCCCCTAGCAAGCTCCACTTAATAGTCACTTGCCATCGGTGTGCAGCATATCTGGTAAGCATGAAAGGATAACATGCAGGCATTGAGCTTCAGAAATTATAAGGAAGGATAAATGTCATTTATTATTTCAGAAATTAAAAGGGTGGCAACCTGTCCTGCCTGTCTTAATGTGTTAAAAGTGCTATTTGGATAAGAGGTTTTGTTGTTGTTTTTGATTCTGTATTATAAGACTCCTTGGGAGAAAAGGACTATATAATTTAACATATATAAGAATGTGCTGGATCAGACCAAGATCCATTTAGTCCATTGTTCACACAGTGATCAACAAGTTGGCTGTTGAAAATGCACAAGTATGAGTGCAATAACACCTCCCTGGTTGTGTTCCTAGTGCAACTAGTGTACATAGGCACTCTCTCTCTGATACTGGAGGCAAAATACAACCATCATGACTAGTAGCCATTGATAGCCTTCTCCTCCCTGAATTTATCCAATCTCCTTTTCAAGCCATCCAAATTGTTGCCCATCACTACATCTTATGGAAGTGAATTATTCACAGTGTGTGCTGTGGGAAGAAGCATTTCTTGTTATTCGTCCTGAATCTCCCACCAATTAGTTCCAAGGAATGAACCTAGGTTCTAGAATCACGAGGAAAAAAGTCTCCCTACCCACTTTTTCCATCCCACCCATACTGACAGGCTATCCCTTCCCATGGCTTAATTTGTAAACTGAGAATGCAAGGAGCTGTATGAAGGTAATTCCTTTCCTTTGCAATGGAAACCCCAATGGTTAACCCCTTAACCCCTAATGCGTGTGGACAGCCTACAGTTAATCCATGACGAGAAAATGCCACTCTGACTATGCTCAGTAGCACTTCTCCCCTTGTTAGAGCTTTGCAGCACATTCAAACGTGTTTCTGGGCTAGAGTTCGAAGTAAGAACGTGTTTTAACTTAAATCCCACCCCCTTGCTTCCCTTGGTGAAGAACACAGGGAGCCGTTTTCTCCTGAAGGACGGCAGCCGCATTTCTTCCCACGGCTTCTAAACTATGCCCTTGCTTTTTCTCTTACTCCTCCGCCTCAAACCCGGCTGGCAGCCGCGGCTGCAACGGGCGCGCCATCAGGGAAGGAGAAAGGGAAGGCGCGCTCACGCGCGCGCGCGCGGGCGGCACGACCTGGCCTTTCTGGCGCGCGCGGACGCCTGTCCGCGCGTGCGCTCCGGCTCTCCCAGGCTCGCTTCTTCGGAGCGGCGGAGCGAGACCCTCGCGGCTCGTTGGAGGCATCGGCCAAGCCGACGCGCGCTCTCCCGCTCGCTCTCCCTATTTCCTCGTTCTCCATCCACCTACCCTCTCGCCGGACCCACGGCTGGATTCTGATTGGCCGGCTGGCGTCCCGGCCAGGCCGCCAGCAGCGGGAGGCGGCAGCGGCAGCAGCAGTAGCAGCAGCAAGGAAAGAAGAGGGCACCGAGGGCGGAAAGGGGTGGCAGGGGCAGCCTCAGCCTCAGGCGCTATCGTCTCCTCCGTCGCCGCCACCGTTCTGCCTTTGCTGGGCGGCGTGGCAGCCTGAAGGCGCTGGTGAAGAAGGACGAGCCTGACTCGAGCCAGGGAAGGGTGAGACGGCTGTCCCCGTCCTCTTGACAGCTTCCGAGGCTAGTGCAGAGGAAGGAGCGGCTGGTCTCCTTTCGGGACAGTTGCTTTGAGCTGGACGGATCGCGTCTCTGGGCACTCCAGCTCCTCTGCGGTTTGGGCTCCGGGAGATAGTGGTGCGCGCAGCTGCAAAGGCTAGAGGTGAGTCTTCTCCCCCTCCCCTCTTGGGAGTTTGGTGCCCGAAAATAACAAGCAGCTCAAGGTGTCCCACCGCTACTTTGGCATGCAGGGGTTGGTGGTGCGGGGGAGAGTGGAAACGACTTGTTGACCCAGCTTTTCTCTGCAGCCTCTGGAGTAGTGGCCGAAGAAAGCTGCCCCCCCCCCCGCCCCAGGGCTGAGGCGAGGTGGGAAGAATTGATCCACGAAGTTGCGCGCATGCTTCCATTTTGCTGCATCTCTCTCGCATTACCAGGCTGAGTGCGAGCGCTGACAATTGTCCACCACCTCATTGCTTGCTTGCCAGTCTCCTTTATTGCGGTGCGTGCCGCCGCTGCAGGGGAAGGCGAAATGTGTGTATCCGTCTGGATGGTGGTGCTGATGCAATTGCTCACCTGGGCTCTGCTGAAGTGTGCCTTTCGGGGCTCTGAACAGCTTCTCCTGGTGCCAAGTATTCGAGCTGGTGCAAGCAAAGCAGACCATTGTGGGCTTTGGTGCGAAAATCGAGTGCCCGATTACTAGAGGAAAATTGAGGTGGAATAGGCTGCATGGCTTGATCCACTGCGAGATCACCTTCCCGCAGATGCTTAGAGTTTGGCTTCGGTGTGGCGTGTGCCCTTGCAGGCAAAGCCTTTGCTAGGTGCTGAATGATAGAATTGAGGTTTCTAAGCAGAATCGAGGAAGTGGCTACATGGGGAGAGGGAGTATATTTTTAGGTCAGGGGAAGGTGATGGAGCAAGGAAAGATGATGAAGGTTTAAAAAGAGAAAGGGCTTGGATTGCTTTTAAAGCTGTGCGGTCCAGTCCTTTGCATGTTTAGTTGGAAATAGGTCCCATCAAGATCAACAGGGGTTACTCTCCAGTAAGTGTGCACTGTCTTTGTTAGCCTAAAGATTCAAGGTGGTGATCCATTATTTTCGGTAAGTTACTGTCTTGCTAGCTGTTGTATATATTTTTCCTTATTCTTGTATTTCCCCGTGCTGATTAATGTGTGTGTGTGTGCATGCACGTGCATCTGTGCACATGCATCCGTGTGTGAATATCACTGTTCACTGCCAAAGACCAAATACTCCCGAAAGCATAGTTGGTTTTATCTTGGTATTTGCTATAATTAAAATGAAGATAGTTTTACGACTGATAGTAAAGTTACAATTCCAGCACACCTAAATTCTTCTTTTTATGTGTAAAAAAAGCAGACCTGCTGGAAGAAACTATCCCTTTCCACTAATTTGATTTATGTGCATTGGAACACTAATCAGATTAATTTAGTTTGGATTAGCAGCCAGCTGCTTGAATGGCTTGGCAGATTTATTAAAACTTCATTATCTGAACACAAATAATTGCATCTATTATTCCTTATTAGAAAGCAACGGTATTTGTTTCACGCCAGCTATAGGATATATGTGATATTGCCACACTGTATTCTTTCTTCTAGCAAATGCAGCAACACCTTTCAGAAGCACTGAAAGAGCATGTGTTTCTATAACGTTAATTTAAGGACAGTACATTGTAATTATAAAAGAAAATACCATCTGTTAGAAGTTAACTTTGTTTTAGGCAAATTAATTAAAGGAAACTGTCATTATGCTGAGGTGTATTTTTTAAGTAACCAATTAGAACACAAAATAAAACAAAATGCTTTAAAATGCAGCTGTGCTGTTAAGAATATCCCAGGGAACATAACCATGCCTAAGGGAATTATGGTGATGAATATGCTGTATATGGATTTTAAAAGCTCATTTATCTTTCATTTTCCAAATTGGATGTTGGATTTGTAATGGATGCACCAAAAACCCTTTGTTTCAACAAAAACAGGAATACAAGGCTGTAATTCAGATGAAGTCAAGTGCTTGAAGTTCCCAGTAATTTCAGCTGGAAAAATTTAGGCACAGGCTTAATTCTCATTGACATTGTAGCTTCCAAAGACTAAGACTACAAGATGTGCTATGCCATAAGAATACAAGATACACTATTTTCATGAGATGGTGAAGCACCTTAGATATACCAGTGGAACACTCAGCTGGCAAAGACACTCCACTGGAACAGCTGAAATGGGGAAAATTATAGACAGAATGTGTGCAGCGCAGGGAAGCTTCTCTTCCAGGCCACAGCTGCACCCCTTTTAGTGGTACAACTCTTCTTGTACAAGGAATAATTTATTCCCCTTTGAATTAAGTGGGAGGGGAAAATGCAAAATATGTCACCCCAAGGGAGCATAGGAGATGGTGTTATATAGCACCCTATTACAGCAGCATACGCATCCCATATCTAGAACCCACATCTCCATTGACACAGGTCATGTGTGACATGGGTCTGTGATCCTGCTCCACAAACAGATAAATAGCTTCTTGAGTGGCCTGCAATCAGTCAGCAAGGAAAGACAGGCTTTGCCTGCAGGCTCACAGTCTAACCGATAATCTAATCTAAGGGATAGAATGGGAAGAGGGAAAATAGGGGAACATTCAGCACAGCTGTATAATGGCTCTGCTTTCCCTCCATCTGTTGGTGAAAGGTGAGGGTAGTCCAACTAGAGCAGGCCCTGTTGTTTCTTTTGTTTGCTTCTGTATTCCTCACTACTTTCTCATAAAGAGGTGATATTAGGTAGCCATCTGTGGGTGTAGGGATCTAACAGGAATTTCTTTCTGGCCCTGTGCCTTCCATTGGAGTTGCTCTGAAACCTCAGTGAAAGGCTACTTTGGACAAGGGAGCACTTTGCTGAAACTGGCTGTCCCCCGAAAACTCCTAGAAACTTAAGCATGTTGCTGACAGTTCTCTGCCTAGAACACTAACATGTTGTTCACCTTGGGGTTCCAGACACAAGTGGTTGGGAGCAACTCCAGTTTGATAATTGTGAATGTTACAATAGAGCACCTTACACAGATAAGCAAAGGAAGTGGAACACTTCCTGCATATTATGACTATGGTAACTGTACGCCAAGACTTTATCCACTTTTGTCATATTGAACTGTATCCTGTAACGCTTTCATCTCAGCAAGTGAGCCGCAGATGCCACATCCAGGTAGGTTTTCTGTTGGCAAAGACCAGGCATTCCCAGTATTAAGCTTTTCAGTATGTTCTTTACTGATTATGTAAAAATTTAAACATCTTCATTAAAAAGAAAACAAGCCTAATCCTATGGCTGTTCATTCAAGAAGATGTTCCAGTGTGTTAAACAGAGCTGATGCTCAGGCAAATGTGCATACAATTGAAGCTGAAGTACTATGCAGCATTAAGCTTTGAGGATCTTAGTACATATGTTACTCATGTTGGGCTTGCTTTAAAACAGCCGCTCTCTGAGATGCAACGATGGGGACTATCTTGGAAATACTTTTTAGAAGTCACATACTGACATTCTTGATGGAATGACTTCCATCTCAAACTGTATTTCTTGGAGTTAAAACAGTTTACTAGAACATGTACAACAGAACATGTGGTTTTACCACTGATTAGCATTTTTATTATTGTGTAGTTTTGTTATTATGCTTTATTTTAGTTTTGATGATATGACATTTTGCATTTACGAGTTTGAAACTTTGTGGAAAGTGATATACAAATCTGATGAATAAAGAAATCAAGAGAGAACAAAAATGACAAAGAGGATAAATGGGGAACATGTAAAGTTCAGGAAGAACTTTATTACAAATAAAATTGACTCTTGGCTGCTCTGGCAATAAAATGATGAAAATCCTGTACACGTATTCTAAGGAAGCAGGTTCCACACCTTCATGATGTATGATGAACAAATAAGGAAGTTTAGGCCAGTTGTTTTATTTACACTGAATAAAAAAGAGATGTATGGTTGATGCTAAAGAAAAGTAGAGTGTGCATAATACATTATTGTTCAAAGAAATCATCTTAGTGAAAACATAATTCTTGAATGTCTGCCAATAGCAAAATGTAGGTATAATCAGGAGAGTAGCTGCTAGTTGTAAGCCAAGCTTTTAAAAAAATAGGTTTAGTTACTCTGATGCTCTGAAGGCCTTGTGGAAGAGACAAGGGTTCTGTTCTTAGGGTTCAAAGAATAGACTTGTGGAAAGGTATACAGATTGATTTTTGACCACCCACTTGCTCAATGCAAAGGTAGAAAATAAGACCTTGTTAAAGGACCAATAGAAGTAATTTATTTTTTCTATTTGAGCACTCTCAACCCTCTTGTTATGCAAAATGTAGATATACAAATAATAAAAAAGAAGTAGTAGTCACTACTAGGTCACTAGTAAAGTTTGTTAATATACTAGTGTGGAACAGAGAGCCCCCTGGAGTGCTCATTGGTGGAACTCTGCATGTATCCCCAGTCAAAGAGATCTCTGGTAGCCTCTGTGTGAAACCCGCTGGAGAGCTGCTGCCAGTCAGACAAGAGTAGACAGCTGGGTGCCCTCCAGGTGATTTCTTCTGGACTACAACTCCCATCACCCCTTCCCAGCATGGCCAGAGATTTTTAAAGTTGTAACCTGAAGCATTTGGAGAGCACCACATAGCCCTTGATCACATAGACTAATGGTGGAGCTTATGATGAAGCAACACTCTGTGTTCAGTGAGATTAGAGCTTCATAGTGGTTCTCCTTGTGTTTCTGTATTTGGAGTTGCATTGTTTTCCGAGTATGCTTATTTAAATTCATTGACACATTTTTAAAAAATGTAAGACGAAATAAACAAAGACTTACAGTGTCAAAGCTTTGGTGCAAGGCACACTATTTCTGCTAACTGTCATTTTTTGTGACTTCACAAAAGCTTTTCATCACCATCAGGATTAGTTTCCTGCTTTTAATATGTGTTTTTTTCCCAAATTGTTTGGTGATCTTTTGTCTGACTGTTTCAATATGCACAGGACTGGAAGATCTTAAGTTTAGATTTTTGTTTGTTTGCTTGTTTTTGGGGTAGCTCTGTAAATAGACTTCCTGATCATATGCTTTGGCACTGGATTCTCTGCTTGTGATAACTGATGTAGTTTTACTGCAGTTCTGACATAATAGATAATGCTTATCC